CCTTAATAATGCAGCCTCAGCACGGAGAAACCAAAAACTTCTGGCCCGTCTGCCAACCCCCTCGCATGTATTGATAATAGAACCTCATTGTTGTAATCCACAAGATTGTCCAAAAGCAAAAGCTTGACAATACAACAACAGAAAGAGGTGAAGGAATAATGATAGATAGTCCTTAGAGATGGTGAGTGAGTAACACAGAGAGAGCGATATAGAGTCAGGCCTCAAATGTATGCCAGTGCATGCATCAACCAATCCCCTCCACCTCTCCCCCTTCTCCCTTCTTCTGGCCAGGAGCTGTTTACCTCTCTATCAGCGGTGCTCTCTAAAAGCAAAGACCCCATCCATATTCACCGGCCTCAAATTCCTCTGCTTATCTCCCCCCAACCCTTGAAAAACCTCCCCGTGTTCCCCTCTGCACATACATACATACATAAACACGTCTTTATGGAGGCAAGAGGCAAACACGCTGGGCTGGGAGGGGGTCGGGGATAAGAATCACCTTGAATTCAAAGCAGAGGATTGTGGGTCCTCGGCGGGCGGACGGACAGACAGCCACACGGGCTAAGGCTCAGGCCGCTGTGACACACAAACCATCAGACAGGTAGAGGGGGCTTTAGGGGATGGCAGCAGATGTGTGCACCAAGGGCCATTGGCATTTCAGGGGATTTGTAAAAGTGAGGTGTGATGCTTATGAAATGTTGGGTTGTTTGATGATATGCCTCATTAGGGGGCAGGTGCATGTACGGGTTGTGTTTGAGTGTCAGTTTCTTCAACCTTGTGGAGTAAGAGATGATGTCATATCAGAGAAATCAACTGCATTTTCTAAAGATTGTGTTGATTTGTCATAAAGTGACTCCAAATAACTCAAGAAATATCTTCAGATGTTATTGAGAATCTAATTGGATTAGCTGTTATTCCCAACATGGTGATTTGCATGAAGTGGACAAATCACTTGACTGCTTTGAAAATGGGAGCGGGAGCCTGGCTGATAAGAGTTGACAGTGTAAGTGAGGGCTCAAAGAGTGCTTGAGCAGAAGCAGAGACACATGGAGTACAGGGGGGGACCGGTACCCCATTCCTCTGCAAGCTGCGTTGTTTGGGGATTGAAGTTGGGAATTCTCTCCACTACTAATTGCGCGCTGGTGCCATTCATGAATATTCATTCTGGCGTGTTCAGACCCCGCCTAATTAGCCGAGAGATAGAGGAAGAAACTCGCACCTTTTACCACAAGAGAAGCGTTTCCCCCCCGTCGCATTCTCAGGGGGATGCTGGCAGAATAGCCCAAGTTCATTAGCCAAAAAAGAAAGAGAAAAAAGTTACCTGAAAAGCACGGGACGATTTGGTCTTCAAAATGGATGGGCAAACAAGGTTTTTTGTTTTTTTTGCTAGTGCATATTTAGTGCCTATTACGCATGTCTATCAAAAAAAAGAGAAAAACTGGAAACGAAATACAATTATCTGATTGAGTGAGTTGGTGGATATTTTTCTACTCGCTGTAGTTGGGGGGAACATCACATGAATTTTAAAATCTAAACATAGCTTGTGGCTGGTCGAAATGTTCCCCATGGAATTGAGGAAGACATGTATTTAACATCTAATATGAGGCCGAGGCTGTTTTAAGAGTGTTATTTCAGGTATACCTGTGGAAATAAAACTAGATCATTAGCTTTAACTTTATTTCGAAATGTAATGTTAGCATATACATGTATAGCCTTGGGATGAGGACTTAAATAACCTGCTGCAACTTTTTCGAATAGAAAAACGATTCTTTACAATAGAGTTTGGATTTGTTTGTGATTAATAACAAGGTTTTTATTTCTTTGTTAATTTATATTTAGCATCTAATTTAAGAGTGCCGATAATGCAGTGACGTTACTCCACAATGCTCCTCTTAACTATTTGTCATGGGTCATTTTATACATTATTATTTACATCCCTATTGCTCTGTTATCCCTTCAGAAAGAGAGAAAGTTGTTTAATTGAAGGGTCACGGGGTCCTATTGGTTGAGGTGCGTCCTGACAATAACTGCTGCATATTAAGTAGCCTAGACTGGGGAAAAGATTAACACGTGGCTGACTGGGAAAAGAAAACCTCCTCCACGCTACTAAATAATGCTCTGAAATGACAGTACGGAAATACAGTTAATGCATTTAGTTAAACATCCTTTCCAAAAATAAATTGATTTATATAAAGTCCTGCCCATGTTAATTCTTTACAGATATTAAGTTTGAATGTATTTCAAGTTCTTGCATGTTCACGTTTTGACAAGACAGCACAGGAAAATACTCGCGAGAGAGTGAAGCATAAATCAGAGAATTGTGTTTTCAGGGTGATACAAAGAAGACTTGTGCACACACTTATTTCTGGTAATGGTCCCCCCCAAACTTCCTGCACACTCATCTCTCTGCGGGTCACTCTGAGTGTGCCTCGAGACTTTTTTTCATTCCATTTTTTTAAATCCATCATATCGTGTTCATTTCCAGCCGCTTTTCCTGTACGGCGTGTCATTCACCACTAAGTTCTGTGTGATCCCTTTCATCGAGCGCACCATGGAAACCTAGTGAGTCCTGGCAAAAATGCACCTCAGCGCACACAAGGCCATATTCTTTACAAAAGGGCCAAAGCATCTGGATCCTTCTTTTCCAGCAGCTCCTCGCTGGCATGGCGAAAGCACAAGACTGGGTCTGTGTGTCAGAAACCACTGCTTTTTATAGACTGGGAGACAAGAATGACTGAATGGCAAACGCATCTTCATTAACTGACAGCATGAAGCTCCGGTCCCTCATAGCAGTGACACACTCAGGAGGTCTCTCATGAGTTTACACTGACGATAAGACATGCTCTGGCTTGCATTTGACAATAACGAGTCGCGTTAGAGAACCATTGTGCATCATTGTCTTACTTGTTTACATTTTATATGATTTTCCCGAATATATTCTATACAATATAAATAACAAATAATGCTCAGTTCAATAAATATGTCTATTAGTACGTTTTTTATATTTAAACCAATTGTTAGATGTTATACATTATGCAGTTTAACTATGCACGTAATTGTTAGAATGTATTTATTTTTTTGCAAAATGTTACATTTAATAATAGGAAGCGTTTCTTAAATTGAGATATAATACATACTGCCAATGCACTGCAGTGAAAAACATCTTCATATCATCTTAAAATCTGACTTTGTTACAAATTAATTGCCCTAAAATGACACGCCGATAACTCGCAGAGGTTGTCTTCCACTCATCTCAAATATATATATATATATATATATATATATATATATATATATATATATATATATAAAGGATGGGTGGACAAAAACCACGCCTTTCAAAAGATGATGACGAGCACCTGTGACCCCGACAACATTTTCCACACACACACTCACGCGCTCAAACACACACGCCTCATTGTTACCGCTGAAGACAAGAGTAGGCTACAGCAAGGACGCGGTCACAGCAGAAAGAAGACAACATACCTTTTAGTCTTGTAGTCCCGGATTAAAATGAACATGAGTTGAGTCGTCCTGTAAATAGACACAGAATAGTCGCATGGGGAAGATGACAACAAACAAACACGCGGCAGAGATAAAAAGGCAAAACATTGCTTTCAGGTAAATGATTAAAATGGGACTGTTGCGCCTGAAAACCCTTCCAAAAAGCTCCTGTTTTAGAAGGAGAGGAACATGTGCCTGATTGCAGAGTTTTAGGCGAATGGAACGGGAGAGATGTAAGATTTGTTTAAAGCCCCGCATTTCCATTTAAGAACGTGATTGTGTTTGCAAAGATCCCTTTCAATCTTCGCATCTCCCCCCCTCTCTCTACCCCTCAGCGTCTCTGAGGCTGCTTTGCAATTCATAGAATTGGTAATTTGCTATTGGGACAAAACGTGAAGGGAAAAATAATCAGATCAACCGGGAGAGGCTAGTGAGGAAGGAGCCAGGAGGAAGAAACACAAGGTTTCTCTCTCCAAGTTGCTGCTTAGTAAAATGCTTCAAGAGGTAAATTATATACAAAGTATAGCCTATATTTTATTTCTTAAATCGGTTAAATCTAAATGTCCAGGGAAAACCCAAAACTGCTGCAGCAGCTTGGCAGTGAGGATAAATGTCATATAAACAATACATAAGACTGTTGTATGATACATTATGAATGATTATGATCAGATATGGTAGGCTACTAAACCTTGATAACGTAGGCTACATTATTTCAAAATAGGATACTGAATAAATAAATGGTGTATAATATCTGTCACCTGCTCTATACGTGCGTGTGTGCAGGGGTGCATTTAGAGCCTATCATAACTAAGTGGGAGGTGATGATGAGATCATACAACATTGAAAATTACCGAGACAATACAAATAAATGACATACGCGGAGGCTTTGAAATAGAGCAAATGCTTTTCAAATTTGTCACACATTTACAGGAGCCTTCACAGACATCTCATGGCGCTTATTTACACGCCTCTCGTTGTGTGGGTGGCTGCAGAGCCGGAGCATCGCGCCTTATAAGCTATTTAAAATGAGCAGCGCTATAATCATCAGTGACCTATTATAAAGGTGCACGGGTGCGTGTGTGTAAGTGCATGTGTGTATGTTGGAGGGGGAGCAAGCGTTCAAAAAGATCACCGTACTCCCCCACGTGGTTATTTGCAAAACAACCGATCTAAACCCGGGGAAACCTAATCAAACCCCGCTGCTGCAGCCCTTCTTTGGAGAGAATAGGAGGGGGAAAGTAACTGATAGACGGGAGGATATCTGTGCGCAGGTATACAAAATGAGATGAGAACAGTTAAAAACTCAAAGAGACATTTAATAAATAGAACATGTGTTTTTCTATAACATATGTAAGATCGGCGCTCTATCCATCCTGAGCGAAAAATGCGCTGTACCATGCTCTGAAACCCTGCGCCTATTGAATATGTCCCTAGTGGGCTTGAATCGGAGAGGAGCCAATACAAGCAGAAGGGAGGCGTGTCTTCGCTCTTCCCCAAGACCTCCCAGAGCAGGTTGTTGCGTTTTGGCTCTAAAGCCTGGAGACCTCCGAAGTGCTCGTCAGTTTTCGAAGTAGGAGCCATGGCGACAACAGCTCAGTATATTCCGAGGAATAACTCCTTACCGTCCAACCCGCTCATGCATCCGGATTCGGATAGGATGCATCAGGGGACGACCTACAGAGAGGTGCAGAAAATGATGCACCACGAGTACTTGCAAGGGCTAGCGGCTACCAACACGGGACACCCGATGAGCCTGACGCACCACCAGTGGCTGCCCACCTCCAACACCGACTGGTCCAGCGGCACCCACATCGGACAGCAGGAGCAAAAAGCCACCGTGCAGACGAGGGAGGACCTCAGCAGCGGCTTCCACCACAGATCTCACCTGGTGCACCAGCAGACGCAGAGTACCCACCATGGTTCGTGGGCACCCACCACAACGCACCACTTATCCCCGCTCCCCCCTGCATCCAACGGTCACCAGTCTCTGGTGTACTCGCAGCCTGGATACACAAACCTTAACGCCATGCTGAGTCCCCAGCCCGGCACCTTGCACCATGGCATGCGGGACACGCTCCACGACGAGTCGGGCAGCCACGACAACCAGATGGAGTCGCCCCAGCAGGCGTTCAGCCACCACCAGGACCAGGACGAGGACGCGCCCAGCTCCGACGACCTGGAGCAGTTCGCCAAGCAGTTCAAGCAGCGGCGGATCAAACTGGGCTTTACGCAGGCAGACGTGGGATTGGCCTTAGGCACCCTGTATGGAAACGTCTTTTCTCAGACCACAATCTGCAGGTTTGAGGCGCTGCAGCTCAGCTTCAAGAACATGTGCAAACTTAAGCCGCTCCTAAACAAGTGGCTGGAGGAGACAGACTCTAACACAGGCAGTCCCACCAATTTGGACAAGATTGCTGCGCAGGGCAGGAAAAGAAAGAAGAGGACCTCCATTGAAGTGGGGGTGAAAGGGGCGCTGGAAAATCATTTCTTAAAATGCCCAAAGCCGTCAGCTCATGAAATCACCAGTTTGGCCAACTCCCTGCAGTTGGAAAAAGAGGTTGTGCGCGTTTGGTTTTGCAACAGAAGACAAAAAGAGAAAAGAATGACACCAATTGGGATCCCTCACCCGAATATGGAGGACGTATATTCCCAAGCAGATACCCCTCCTCTACACCGCACACTACAGAGTCCTGTACAGTGACTATTTTCATGAACAATCCGATAATAACCGCGGGGGGATAGGAAAGGGACTATGGAGTTTACAGTATTTAAGTTTGGCTTTTGTTTTCCTGAGAGAAAAGAGACATGGAAAAGTTGAACAGATGAGTTTTGTCCTTAGTATTCGGAGATCGTCATGTCCAACAAATAGATGGCAAGAGTGAAAATGTTAAGAAGAAAAAAAATCAAGAAAAAAAGACAAAAAAATATTCGCTATACTGATTCCGTGCGTATTTAAAGTGAAACAAAGATCTTTATTTACCAAATTATATGGAGGAGAAGGCATATAAAGTAAATTTGATATCCCATGGCTGTTTCAAATGGGGATTAATTTAATGTGGCAACTGAGGCCATCTCCTCCTGGTGTTACATGAACTGTTGGCGCTCACCAGAATGAGGTGGTTGCCTGAAAATGATCAACACTGGAGACGAATAGCCAACACTGAATGAACATTTTGCTTTTGCAGGCTTAAACTGATTAACCAGATTTCTGAATATTAGTGTATACTTTCTTTGTTATATTAAGTGTGATGTTTTGGTTTGGAAATACTTTAACTTCAGTGTCTCTCTTTCTGCAGACTGTCTATGATTTCGTTCATTATTTTTGCTACTGTAACTCATCAGAGCAGCCTCTATTTTTTCTGTTTACTCAGTGGGAGTTGATGGTGGAAAAGTGATGGAAATTGGGCACCCGAAAAAAAATCATAATTAAGGTCAAACATATTTCAGAAAAATGTCCAATGCAACAGGACGTTTAAGTTCTGACTGCATGCCTTAAACAACATATTTAAAGCTTTGCAGCTGACCGTCGAAATTTGCAAACAGCACCAGACGCTAAAAGGGGAATTCTTAAATTTTATTTTATTTGGGGGGGGGGGGGGTTTGATTGTTTTCAAATTATTGTTTTCTTTGCATGGAGCACTTATTCTTTCGTTGATATTATTATTGCGATTTTATATTTGTTAATACAATTGTGAGTGGAGCAGATCTCCATCGGCTTAAACACAATAAATCCCATGTTTACAGGTTCCTGGTTATCACCACAGAGCGCTGTCAGCTCACACTGCTCACTGCCTGTTAATCCTGTTGTATTCCAAACATTTCAAGAGAGATTGGTCAAATACGAAATGAAAAGTAATAATAACTCAGGTAACTTCAGTGCCCCATGTCGGAATATCACGCCTGTACATGATTTATTTTGTTCCTCTGTGTTTTAGTTCTTTCAATCTGGTTACAACCACACCGTTTTCCTTTGTCCCCTAAATCCATTGTATTATATTAAAACGCTGGATTCGGAGAAAAAGAAAATAATAATTCCTTAAGGAGGAGCGATGAAGGGACTTAACTTTAGATATATTTATTTTTTTCTGACCTGAAAAGAAATCTTGCATTGTGTGTCATTTTCTCAAAGTTGGACCAGTCCAAAAGCCTACAGCAATGCTATTCAATACAGATGAGGGAAACGTTTTTTTTTTCAAGAAAAAATAATAATAGTAAAAAAAGATTTTAGAGAAAATGTTGCCAGGATTATTTCCGAAATGTAAATATGTCCAATATGTAAACTTGTATTTGTTCTGAGATATTGTTTTGTTTTTGTTTCTTTCCGGGCAGTTTTGTACACTTACTAATTCCAAGAAGATATTTTAATATGATTTCATTTATGAATCTGACCATTTATATATATATATTTATTTCTTAAACGTGTTTGGAGCTTTTTGTTTAGCTCTGTTAATGGTTATGTTGCAGTGGATTTCAGTATGTTTTTCCTTTTTGTTTACTACATTGGTTGTATGTTGATTGCTAAATGTAGACTGCAAAGTCACATTTATATTTATGTTATAGTAATATTTTATTACTTACATAAAACATATATACAAGAAATGGTCTTTTGTCTTCATTAAGATGCAAACCACTCGCCCCTTTGTTGTTGTCTATTGTAGCACCACCAGGCAAACAAGATAAACATGGTCATAAAGTTTAATGCTGTTCGGTGTGCGGAGCAGCTCGCCATGTGTTCAGTTAGCAGTGATTCGTTATGTAACAAGAGGTCGTTTCAATCAGAGGCTGTGTACATGTGCTGTTAAAGGGAGTAGACAACAGTATTTTACCTCAGGCATTCCCTGCTACATTCACACAGTATCTGACGTTGTTCACATCTTTGTGTAATAATCGCAGTATTAAATTGTGCAATATCAACACGGAATTATTGTCTGTTCATTGAGTGACGACTATCATTATTTTTATGATGATAATTATTATTAGTAGGCTCTTAGGATGATTATTCTTATTCTTATAAGTTGTAGGCCTAGTCTTTATGTTTATTTAGAGTAGTCTAAATAGGCCTCCCTCAATCACACTGAGCTGTTAGCCTTATATAAACCTTCATCCCCTGTCATGTGTTAAGCGTTTAAAAGGCAAATTGTGACGAATCTTTGATCTGAGACAGAAGTGCCTGCAGGCAAAAAATCTGCCTCCTTTCCAAAGATAGCGAAAACACATTAAGCATCAACAAATAACGGCAGGCCCAAAAGTTTAATAACTGGAAGGACAGGCCAACATTCACAGGCAACATATATGAATGTTTTTAGCACCTAAATACATGTGAAAAAATCTCTAAATCATATAGCTATGTAATGTTGTCCAAAAGTTGTCTCATATTACGGGCCAGAGCGGCTGTGCGCAATGTTTCTACATTTACATCCAAATATTAGAGCAGGATACAGTTTGGGTACATGGAGAAATTCAACGGGGCGTTGCATTTTAATTCCTTCAACTACATTTACGGTTTTATAGGCCTATATACTTTTTTAAATCATCGTGGAAAGTAAAACGCTGGAGAAACAAACTCTACATATTCGAAGATACTTAGAATACAATTTCTAGGGTTTGTTGAATAATTTAATCAGTATACATTAAGGATTTTTTAATTAAGTATCTTAGACACGTTACATCAAACATAGTTATATGTTATACGGCTGCATGGTTCCTCAGTGAAAGTGTCTCGTTATCTAATACAATTGTACGCAATACCAAGTTTGGAGTATAATCCGCTTTCAAAAGAAAACTGGTTCATATTTTGGAATTTGAAATGTACTCGACTATTATTCATTTTAATGCAATTTTTCAAAAACCATTAACGCCTAATATCCACGAATATTTTCCTTCATTAGTGTTTTGCGATTATGTTTAGAGAGATGAAGTTGGGTGCCACGAGTACAATGTGTCATGCAATAACTATTTTACAAAGTTACAAGACAGAATATAGAGGCTTCCGACTTTTTGTAAATCAGGCTTTTTGTGCTTCTGGAAAACAAAAAGTCTTTGCACCGGCTGAGGTGGTCAAACTGTTAGGAGGCCAACATTAGGAAGCAAACGGTGTGAGAGAACAGCGGGGCACAGGCGCCCCCTGCTGGCAGTATCCCAGTACTGCACCATCAAACCTGTGCCTGAAGGTTTGATGGAAATCCACTATAATAACAACCGATATAACTATAACAAATAGTCTAATCATCATAATTTTACCTGTTGTTGTATGACTGTCTAAAACACAAATAACTCAAACATGCTTGACGAATAACTCCAACTGCTAAAGTACTGTATTTACTGTACTGTGCAGGAGTTTACAACAGAGACTAAGTTGAGATCTACTTGTCAATTCAGATATCTAGCTAATGCATAAATACCATATGGAAACAGGTGTGCAACACTGCTGGAGGTAAACTGTTGTTTCTGTGCAGGTGCAAAGTACCCTTTGCCCCCCGTTATCTTATCCCCAGTCTGTCACCTCTTCACTGTAGTGATCCGAGCAGAAAGACCCCGGGTTACCTTCTTGAAGGATTTAAATGTGACTCAGTCAGGGTTCAACTATTACACCTCCCAGTATGAGGAGAGGCACCACAGAGGGCCTCTTAGTGACCACAGATATGGCTTGAAATGCATTGCCAAACAGAGGCCTACTGCGTGAACATAGATGGGCAAACAGAAGGAGCCCAGTCGACCAGACAAGAGAGATAGTGACTGGTACAACTGTTATTGTTTGATTATATGCAATTTTCCTTCTGTGGTGTATGGAAGGACACAACACACATTATTCTGATAAATCTATAATACATGAGCATAACTCATCGCAAAACAGCAAGAACCTGCTATTTGACCCCTGCATCACAGTTCATTGTTTCCTCCTATCCTCTTCCCTCTCAGCAGCTCTCCTACACTGAGGGGGCCCTCGGCAGCACGCAGAGGAGCTCCAGCCTCAGCAGGACCTAGCGCCCGTGAATACGATGCCTCCTTCATCAGGGAAGTATCGTCACACACAGGAGATGTGGATTAGTGATGATTAGCAGGGATTATGGCTGGTTAATGGTGGGAAAATACATTAGGAACCATCGGCTCTGGGAGGGGGAAGGGGATTTCACTCACGCTAGCGGATTTGCATTGATCCACAGCAAATGAATGAGGATTAGCAGCATCAAGCTATCTGCCAACAGATAAATAACATTAAGCGTATTATACGCCAACGCCTGTTATTAATGACATTACAAACACTACAATGCTGGCAATTATGGAAATAATGGGAGCGGCTGAATAATTTACTTGGTTGGGATTCTTATGATTTCAGATCATCCTCATGTACAGAGACATGGGGTGATGGAGAGCCAATAAACTGGTAGGCAGAGGGATAAGCCCTTTGTAAGAATAACTTTTGAGTTGTCAGACAGCGAAACAACCCTTTGGCTGTGGTATATTCTCTAAGCGACGCTTGCAGAAGAGCAGAAATGCTCTCTCAAAATCATCATGGAGACCCTTCTAATGGATAAACTGATTAATTATAAAGATTGGAACATCTGGATGAAAAGCCAAACATATAAACACATTTTCTTACTCCTTACTAACGCAACAAGTGTTCATCATTTAAGTCCATAACCTGGGATTGCCCTTATGAATCTCTAATGGCTGTCTATGAAGTGTTGATAAATACAAAAAAGTATACATAATTAAACATTGCTTTTATACCCTGCTGCAACAGATGGCACACTTAGAAAATAGCACTTGGAAATGTTTTGTGCATTATTTAACTGTGTTAATACTGTAAGTCAGTGCAGATTTAAAATACAGTTCTGCTTTCAATATATGCGTCCTTTTCATTTTATTGCAGGTAATGTTAAAGCTCTTTTGGATCAATACGGAAATCTGTTTGAAACGTATTAAATTGAATAGAGAGGTCATCTATAATATACACCCTCTGCTTAGCCATATTACTCTGAAGGAGAAAGAAGTGCTCATTCCTCTATCCGACCCACATTTTTAACCCGACAGGTGAAGAGCCTGTAGCTTTCTTACTCTCTATTACTACCTCTTCCTCCAGCCGAGTTCTCGTCTCCTCTTTTTACCGTTTATGTAATAAATACTCCACTCCCACAGTTAGTGGCAGAGAAAGGGGGGGGGGGGATGGGGGACTGGAAAAAGAACAGAATAATGCATTTTTTCATCAAAAATTCCTTCTCTTCCCCTACCTCAAGGTTTCCTCCTCTGAGCCACTTGAAAGATGGGCAACAATGTGGCCACACAGTGAACACCTAGTTACCATATGAAACACTCCAGCAGTGAACTGGAGGAGCCGGAGACGGCAGAGGAGAAGTCTTGTGTTATTTATGATACCGGGCCTTGTAGCTATATGGGTTCCCTCTTCATGTTAGCTATGGCCCCCATATGCGATGGGTTTAAGTGCAGCTTTAGAAAGTTACTCTCCCCACCCCTCTGCATCTCTTTGCTCCTCTCTCTGAGGTTTTGAAGAAGAGAAGTAACCCGTCTCCCCCTTTCATGGCTTTGAGGGACATTTTATATCGCCTCAGGTGTCTGTCAGTGTGACTAACAGTTCTGAGAGTGGAGAACTAATATCTCAGGAACTTGCCTCCAGGCAGCAGCACATAGATGTTACTATTGGTGGCATACAATGAGAAGAAAGCCATACTTTAGAGGCTTCCAGCAGCAGCAATTACTACTGATTCAGTGAGCTGGTAGGTATTAAACAATGGCTGTGACAACCTTAACCGGTGATAAGAACACAGTGGGAAATGCAAGATAAATGCAATCATCAGCTCTGCACAAGCTGCCTTCATTTTGTGGGCTGTCTGATAAAATGTTGCAAATAGCCCAAGGACACGTATTAGGGATAACACACTAACCAAACAAAGCAGTAATAATAATGGTTTCATTTTTTTTGTCATTTCCGGATGACAAATCTGAAATCACACAGCCCAGGTGCCGAGGAGTCTTTCTAAACTACTACACAAGGTTGTAACGTTAATTGTTGCGCCTAAGAGGACTTGGCATTCCTATGTTAAAGGTTGTCCCCTCTTGTCAACTTCCAGCCTGGCTTTTGTCAACTGTAGCAAAAGCATGGCAATGCCTCCTGACAAGGTTCAGTGCAGGAGAGAGGAGAGTCAAAGGCAAGACAAGACCTTGTAGTAGAGAG